GTCCAATTATTAAATAAAAGTTAAAATTGAAGATCTGATTTGTACCAAAGCCTGATTCAAAATGTGTTTGCATTTGTGTTCGTTTGCGGGCTTGGAAATGTCCCAGAGATTCCTATAAAATCAAAGTGCGTGTAACGAGACAAAGTTTGATATTTGTTTTTGGGAATAATTGTCTCGTTTCGAGGAAATTTTCAGGTACGATTGAGACTGCAGACGAACGTTGTGCCGTTGTGGAAAATCAACTATTGTGCGTCAGGCCGTACGGTTTTCCCTTTTATGCGATGAAAAACAGGAAAATTAGAAAATTCTAGAATCAAGGAAAATAATTGTAGAGAAACTGACAAATTAGGGAGGATTGAGAAAACTAGAACTGAACATCGTCCAGTCATGGATTAACTAATAAATAATTGAGTTAATTTCCTTCGAAGGATCAATGCAAACCTTGTGTTTCATTTAGAACCAGTATTCATGTTAAACGAGCCCCATACGCGTCCTTGATAAGATTTACAAGTTAAACGATGTACACAGTGGCTGCAAAAGTCTCGACGAATATGTAATTAAAATTACATTGAAATTAAATGAGAATTCGATAAAAACTGTGAAACATTTTAAATAAATAAATCGACGACACTGTGTAAAGTAAAAATATAAGTAAGAATATTTCTAACAATTTGATTGTTTTTGCAGCCGCTGTGTATTAACCCTCGTATGCAAGTACTGATAGATCTGAACGAGAGATAAGATAGATTCAAAGACTGGCCCCATCGCTAATGCCGGCTACTCGCTACGTCATCCCTTAACCTTTGATTTGGTCGAAGATTCATCCCCCTCTACGAGCCTCGGCCCGGCACAATCCAGAACAAAACCAAACCGTCGAAACAACAGAGAAATAGAACAGAATATCCCACGAAGTTGTAACTCTGGATTGTGGATAGGCGAGAGGGATTGAATCAAGGAACGTCCAATCTGATTCGTCGAGAGATCCTCCTCGCGTTCCCAGAGAGTCTAAACGGCTATAGCCTACTTTGGCACAAACAACCACTGGCCCATCCGCCGGCACTCGCTTTGTCAATATATATTTTTTTGGTAGTTTTCAATTTTTTGTCCCACGTCACACTCAGCCGCATGTTCTCCTCATTATTAATTAATTAGATTTCTCACACACCCAGACAGGCTCTCCCACTCGCTTCTCAACCAGTCACTAACTCCGACTACAATATACGTATATATTTAATAAGATTTAATTGACTCCAACAAAAATTTTGTCGGTATCGACAAAAATTCGGGCGCCCAGTTCCGGTTTCCTCTCTGTTTCTTTCTACTTATCTCTTTCCTTAGGCTTGAGGCCGTTTCTGTCTCAGTACCGGCTGGGCCCCTCTTATCACCGATCTCTACCGCTAATTGATAAATCCCACCTTGACACGATTCCACCGTGACCGTCCTCATTTAAAATGTGTACTCGTGCCCTTTTGTAAACTTCGCTCAGGAATTCGATTACTGCCCTTAATCCCTAACTCCTTGCGGACTCTAGGCTACTTAATCTGTGTTTGTGTTGTATGTTATGTACGTGTGTTTAATCTTACACGACACCAGCGCATCGAAAAACACGACAGACCAGCCCTACGGGACAAAGGTTGCTGCTTCTCCCCTAACTTATTTAATATGTATTTGCCTTACGTGTGTATATCCGGTTCCCTCTACTAAATCTGGTCGATTCCTCTGTGGGTTTCGTTCCACGTCGCCTTTGCGGCCGCGTCACTCGTCATCGTCAAAAAAAAAAAAAAGGAATGCTCGGTGATCAGGAACTAATCGTCTCTCGACCGTAAACGAATCACCTGAACCACGCGACGAGCCTCGCCGATTGGGCCTCTTTCGCACAGCCGTCCCTCGGAACGAGACAAATTAAACTCCAGGAATATTTATATGTTTTATAATAAAATCGAAAAGTATAATTAAATCAATTATTTGATATGCGCGTTTATGTCAATCGGTTAAAGGATTTGTTATGAAATTAAAAAGACACGAATGGCAGTAATCGATGGAACGGCTGTGCGATGGAGGCCCAACGTGAAATCCCTGAACAAACGGAGTCGTCGAATGCCGAACAATCCCGAAAATATACATGCATTTAGTATGCACCGTTATCACCTACCCGTGCGCGTGCCTCCCTTAATTATCGATATGTTCAACGGTCCTTACCAAACTCCACCACTTTTGTCAAAATACTATACGACCGATTAAACGTCTCAAACAATTCCACCTTAGGTTTACCCACGATGCGTCAGATACAAAGGTAGAATTGTCTGAGGGTCGTTTAAACGAGTGCATATCCAAGGACGTGCGCATTTTATTTCCTCGTCCTTAAATCTCCGTTACTTAATTACGATTAAAGAAACTACGCGATCCTAAGCACCTATCAGCTAAGAAAAAACCTGCGTCCGAATGTCTCTGCTATTCCTCGCGTGTGTGTATACGTGTGTGTATGTGTGTGCGTGTGTGTGTTCGCAGTTTTTTTTTATGTACGTGTGTCGTGTGATTAATACTTATCGTCTCGAGCATACAAATTATAAAAATACCACCTGCGAACGACAGAAAACGGCGGCAACATGGCCGCCGCGCCCCGGACGCCGGCGAATACTGAACGAAGGTCATTTTCTCTCTTTTTCGTGTATGTGTGTATGTTTTTTTTTTCTCTTTTCTTTTTTAGAAAAACCAGAAACGGAAAACGATTTTCGGGGTGTGGCGGGGCGCGGCGTACGGGACGCGACTTCGTGTCCCCTGGAAACCCCACCCGACGGTGCCCGTCCGCGGTGATCTACAATAGTTAACGACGGCCGCCGGGGATTCCAGGGAGCGCGAGCGTAGATTCATCTAGCACCTCTCGCGATAAAAGCTGCTGCCTGCTGCAAAGGGTCCCGTGTTGACAATTAGCCTTAACGTTTCTAATTAGATTAATTCTCCTCTCCCGGTTCTGGCTCTTTTGGTACGCGCGCTTTACTTTCAAATTCTCCTTATGTGTTTTTCCTTGTTCTCCTCCAGTTTAATACCCCGCGTCAGCGCGTTTCAGACAGACTCGCGGCGGTTCAAAATTAAGTTTTCATAGATACAGTGTTGCCCTTTTTCTCTTCTTATACATACATATATATATATAGATTTGTGTATATAGAATATACCTTAACGCTCGGAAAAAAATTGTTCTCGTAACTCTGTACAAGAGCCCCCTTTTGTTCTTTCTTTTCTCAAATCGCCGGCAATCACCTAGCCGGCCCGATTATTCTCGCGTTTCCGGTGTCTGTGTTTCATTTGTGTTCTCCCCTCTCTCTTTTCCTCGTCCCTCGGCTCCTCCAAATAGGAGGATCCGTTCTGTGTTTAATATTCGACGATCGACGCTATGTAGAAAACGCGACTCAACTGTTTCCTCTTTCTTTCTTTCTTTTTTGTTCTGTTCACCCGGTTGGAAATTCTTTTCTATGATCCAGAATGTTGGAAACGCTCGATATCCAACGGACGAGGACGTCGTTGCTTGTTTTACGTTTGTCATCAGTCGTACACCGAGCCGGGTATCCAAAAGGGGACTAGGGCGTAGGGCTGATACCACTGTCGGTTGGTTGCTTGTTGTGACTCTTGTTAGATGTTGCTCTTAGAAAATGAGACTCTCAGGTGGTTGGACTCGCTCAGCTGGTAATTGTGCATTTTCTAAAACAGACAACATTTTATCATCGTACGATGTCGAGCTTGATATTAATTAATAATGATTGGATGCTTACGATCAGAGCTGCGACGGCGTCGTCCATACTAGGCATCTGTATCAGTGCCATTTTCCTGTCCTTTGGGAAGAACTTGAATGCCTTCACAGTGAAACCGTTCTTGGTGAACGCGTCCCTTATCTCCTCTTCGGTCACAGTAGCACTGCAACAAAACAAGCCCAAACATTTATGACCAAACCAAACCTGACCTAGTATTCAGTAAAGGCAAAATAAGTACAAGATTAAAATTTATTATTCTAAATACTTTTAATATAGAACTTCTTTATTATATAAGAATTCAAATACCCAATCGACGAATGTAAAAAAGTAAATAATTAAAATTCCAAGTATGAATTAAATGATTTATTACTCACGGAATATTAGATAAATGCAGAGTGGAACTTGGCGGGTAGATGTTCTGATAGTTTTTCGACCCGGGCTTCTTGAACCGATGGAGGGGGCTGTTGGTGTAGTCTTTAGTCAAGCCAGCGTCCGGTTGCCCCTCCTTAGGCAGCTGCACCGTCTGATGCTTGCTCAGCATCACCTTGATCACCTTGCCAAACACCCTCAGCTTATCCATGTGCGTCAGCGCTGCAATTACCAAACAAATTGTTTATTAAGTACGAAATTGAAAATCTTGTGAATTAAATAAAAAAATCATTCAAATTAAACTATGAAATCTAACATGAATTTATTGTATTAAAATTGATATTATAAAATTTCGATTATGTATGAAACAAATTCCTTTTTGCAATATTCAATAATTAATTCTATGACGTCTATGGCATAATTAATAATTGATAAAAAATAATTAAAAATTACCTAAATGCGCCTGATGCGGTTCGGCCATCTGTATGAGCGCCGAGTCCTTCTTGTTATACAGGATTTTCACACGTTGTACATCCCCGTAAACGCCTACATGCACAACACGCAACAACGATTATTTTTTAATCAGTCCGCCATCTCGGGTCGATTTTAAATTAAGTGGCCAACTCG